CCGCACCGGCCGCCGGCGCCGATCAGGACTCGCCGCAGCGGCGGAGGCATGCCTCCAATACTCCTCGAGGAAGACAGAGCGCGATTCGGCGACATTCCAACGAAGATTTGACCAACTGTCGCCATAGCAGATCACCTGAAGAACAAGAGAAAAGCTCAGGGAGAGAGAGAGAGAGAGAGAGAGAGAGAGAGAGAGAGAGAGAGTACGTGTTTGCGTTAACGTTAATGGCGATATTTAAGCGAGGGAACGTGTCTCGAGAGAGTTTCTTTTTCCGCTTAGTTTGGTCGACAGTTATAACTGAACCCTCTGAACCATACGGAAGGTTCTTTTGCTATTTGTTAAAAAAAAAACTCTTATATATTTGATCTTATACTTTGAATTCAGATCTGATAACAGAGAGAGCATATGAACCACCATCATCATATCTCATTACATTGTCAGCTTTCAATGTCAGAAACGGACCAATCTTCTTGTTCTTGTCCCTCGGGCAAACCGCACAAGAGGGACAGAGTTGTATGAACAACTTCACAAGTCACCTTATCACCAGACAGAAAGACATGACCTTTACCATTGACCACAACCCAACTGCATCCAGGGCTCTTCTTCACTCCCTTCAACCCCATCTCTTTCCTCACCTCACGCTCCTCCTCGTGCCTTCCACTCCAAGCGTACACATTGCACAGCGCCACGTGGCCCGGGCCGTTTCCCGGGTCGAGCTCCAGCAGCTTCTCTGCAGCTCGTTCTGCAGTCCTCGTGTCTTTTCCAGCGATCCTGCACGTGCCCAGTAACGCCCCGTAGATCGTCTTGTCCGGTGTGAAAGGCAGTGTCGAGATGAATTCCTCGGCTTCTCTCGGTTTGCCGGCTCGTCCCAGAAGATCTACCATCGATACGTAATGTTCGATGCCCGGTTGGATTGAGTACGTGTTCTTCATCGCGTTGAATAGCTCGAACCCTCTTGTGACCAGTCCGGAATGGCTGCAGGCTGAGAGGATTGAAAGGAATGTGATCGAGTTAGGGTTTGTTCCCGAATCCAGCATCTGTTTAAACAGTTGCAGAGCTTCTTCTGCTCGGCCATGGTGTGAGAACGCCATTATCATGGAGTTCCATGAGACTGTGTCTCTGTGAACCATCCTTGAGAATACCCCGTAAGCCTCTTCAATGGCTCCACATTTGGCGTACATGGAGACAAGAGAGTTTTGAAGAATCAGATCGGTATCATAGTACTTTGTCTTAATGATCATGCAGTGCAAATGCTTCCCCTGATCAAGATTCGCCATGGCACCCGCTGCACCGAGAAGAACAGAGTAAGTCGAGTTCAGTGGCTCGAGACCGTGATTGAACATCTCCGAAAAAAGAGAAGCAGCCTCTAACAAAAGCTCATTCCGGACCAGACCCGAGATCATCACCGTCCATGTAATGCCATCTTTATTGGGAATCTCACGAAACAGATCAAAGGCTTTCTGCAAATCCCCCGCTTCGAAATACCCTTCTATCATCGATGTCCAAGAAACCCTATCCCCGAAGCTCTTCACTTCCTCGAACAGAATCTCGGCCTCTTCCAGAGACCCGATCCTTAGATAACCATTGATCATCATATTACAGGTCTGGAGATCACAGTCAGCGGAATTTCGGTTGAACAGAGAGCGTGCTAAGCCCATAAGACCGAACGAAGCATACATATGAACAAGACTCTTCCCCAATCTTCCTTCTTGATCCATATTGTCCCAACCACTGGCTAAAACCTGAGCGTGCAATTGCTTGCCCAGACGGTGAAACTCGAAACCAAGACCAGCACATGCATAAGCAATCGAGACAAGGGTCTCCCCGTTCGGTTTCACAGCAAGATCCTTCTTCATCTCAAGGACGAGAAGCAAAGCTTCTCGGTAGAACTCGTTCCTAGCAAATCCGCCGATCATGGCTGTCCAAGAAACAACATTCCTGGCGGGCATTTCCCTGAATAGTCTATACCCTTCAAGAACATTTCCAATCCTGCAATACCCATCCACCATACTCGTCCATGTAATCACGTTCCTATCCTCCATCTTTTCAAACAGAACCCTAGCTTCCTCCATCATGTCATTCTCCACATACCCAGAAATCATAGCGTTCCATGATACGATATCGCGGCTAGGCATTGCATTGAAGACTCGTCTCGCCTTCTCCAAGTCACCGTTCCTTATCAGACAAGTGACCAACGTGTTCCATGAAACTATATTTCTCTCAGGCATTTCGTCGAACATCTTGACCGCATCTTCAACCTTCCCCTCTTCCGACAGTGCAGAGAGCATCATAGTCCATGAAACGACATTCTTCTCGGGCATTTCCCGGAACAGAGACCAAGCACCGGACATTCTCCCGCATTTGACATACCCAGATAACATCGCATTGTACGTGACGACATTCTTCTCCGGCATAGCTTCGAACAAAACCCTAGCTTCGTCCACGAATCCGGATCTTGCATACTTCGTAAGGATCGAGGTCCAGTACTTGACACCCTTATGACGATCTCTCTGGAAAATGTCGGCAAGCATTTGGTGGGCATCTCGTGGGCGGCCATGAGAGAGTCGGCGGAGCAAAAGGGCTTCGTCGGGAGAGATTTTCCGATAATGGGTTCCGGCGGTTGATGCCGGAGTTCCGAAGAAGCGAAGGAATCGACGGGAAGGAACCGTCGAATTGAAGAACGGTTTCGAGAGAAAGCATCCAAGTTTATTGACAGAGAGAGCATGCATTCAAGCTATTCTCCAAAAAGGTTCAATTCCGACAGCTTTCAGCTTAAGATCTCCATTAAATACAGAGTTCTTAAAAAAAAAACAGAACTGATTTTCCCACTTTGTGTTTCGTGCAAAAACTCAAACTTTAGGAAACCGCCATTGTTGATACCTGTAAAGGATCCAACTTTGAGCGGTTTTTATAACGAATTTAGCTTCATAGCCAGATTCCGAGATCCAATACGTTTCTGAAGATCTATAAGATATTGCCAGGAAAGGGAGTTTCCCCATATGCAGACAGGAGATTATGTCTTGCCATTGACAGGGCATGTTTTTTCTTGCATGAGACTAAACTGACAGAGACTGTTATCATTCCAAAGGGCTGTGTCCAAAATCTTTGTTCTTCATGGAAGAATCCGAATGCCCAGAAAATACAAAAACAAAAAAGAATAAAAAATTTATTCCGCAAAATAATATAATAATATACAGTATTATAAGTTATGATACGTATACTATGGACGGCGGTGGGACACCTGGAAGGTTATATCCGTCATTTTATACTTTAAAAAATGCATAAATTCCAGCTGGCATATGGTAAAGCGACCTGCCTTCGCCTTTTTTTTTGTTCTCTCTCTTCCTCTCGGCGACAAGAACAAAACCTTCGAGACCTTGCGGAGATCGAAGAACCATCTGGAAATTCTTCGTGAGTTCTTGTAATCCTTTTTTCCTGGTCAGTTTCTTGCTTAGATTCCGGAATTCCGAGCAATTGTTCGGTTTCCATTGTTCGATCTGAGCTCTCCGTCCGTAATTTCTTCGATAATTTTCCCGGAATTTCTTGCTGCAGATTTTCGTAGTCTTTTCCTATCAGTTGTAATTTGATGTTATTGTTTCTGTTTCTCTTTTGATTAGAGAAGTTTTATTGGATTTGATCACATTCGCTGCTGTATCGTTCTGTATACGAGGAGAAATTCGTGTGGAATCCGTTTGGCACGGAAGATAACTTCTGTTGGATTTAGGTTTGTTTAGAAGTATGTTTGAGTTGTAGAAATGGTTTTCTCTGGGAATATGCTGGTTAAGTGAATGCCGGATCCCATGAGTTTCTGTTGATATGTGCAAAGAACTTGCTAGGTTTTATAAGGCGAAACCAATGAAATGATTTGCTGACATTTTCCTGAACGCGGTTTTATGCTGTAGGATTGATCGTGGGGCTGATGAATTGAGGAATACCCAGGCGAAATCGGAAATCTTCTGAGTGGTAAAAAAAATGGCCTGTAGAGGTTGCTTGGAGTGTTTGCTGAAGTTTCTCAACTTCTTGCTGGCCCTTGTGGGGCTTGGCATGGTTGGATATGGTATCTACTTGTTCGTGGAGTACCAGAGAGCAACGGATAATTCTCATATGGTCACTCAGACAGGCGACGATGGTTATGTCTCATTTGGACGTCCCATGCTCATGGTCGTTGCTTTATCAAATGATATTTTCGACAAGCTGCCCAAAGCTTGGTATGTCCTTTCCAGTTATAAACTACATCGTTTTTATGCATTTCTTCCCGAAGCATCTCTTATGCTGTAGCTACATTTGTCTGTCTGATTCTATCTTTTTTAGCAACGTTTGTTTCATTCTCTCTCTGGGTTTTTAATAACTTCCCAGCCTGAAGTGGTCTTGCTTTGTGTATTATGCCAATGCAGGTTCATATACTTGTTCATCGGTATCGGAGTAGTTCTGTTTGTTGTCTCGTGCTGTGGATGTGTTGGGACTTGTACAAGGAATGGCTGCTGCTTGTCTTGTGTATCCTTAAACCTGAACTTGATTATCTTAATCATTTCCATGAAGGTATTTGTATATTTATATGCTTACAGATGCGTGAGTGCTTCTCAAAATCCTTTTTGCACTATTAATGCAGTGCTACGAACTCCGTTATATACCTAGGTTTTTTATGTTAATGCTTTTGGAGCTCCTTTCCTGTGGTTGTGGTGAACATAAAACTTTAAGTTGTTATTTCCTTAAATTTAGCGTAGTATTCTGCGCTTGTGATCTTGTTGATCATAGTGGAGCTTGGATGCGCAGCATTTATATTCTTCGACAAGAGTTGGAAAAAGGTCAGGTTTCTTTCCGTGCCTTTTTTCTTGAGCCAAGTTACTCTTTGCCTTCTGAAGTTGACATTACCTGGAAAAAAAAAGTTGTCTGCTAATTCTGGTCACCCTTCCTTTTACGCATTCTATAGGAAATTCCAGCTGATAGAACAGGAAATTTCAACATGATCTATAAATTTCTGCAAGATAACTGGAAGATTGTCAAGTGGGTTGCTCTCGGAGCAGTTGTCTTGGAGGTAAGAGCAAGAGATCTTCCTTGAGCACATTAACTTATGGTGCAAACACGCTGTTGGGTCATCTTATTAATGGTTATATTATTTTTCAGTAAAAGGGGGTATAGATTGTGTTGTATTGTGTCATATCATCTCTAAAATTATTCTGTCATTTTGTTAATCGCAGGCTTTGCTTTTCTTGCTGGCCCTTATGGTTAGGGCGGCCAATGCTCCACCAGACTATGACAGTGATGAAGACCTTATCGTTCCAAGGCAACAGATCCGGCAGCCATTCATCAACCGCCAACCCGTTGCTGCAACAGGTGTCCCGGTTGCCCCTACCTTGGATCAACGCCCTAGCCGGAATGACGCTTGGAGCACACGTATGAGAGAAAAGGTAACATCCAACCTCAAAAGGCATGGACAGGCATGTATATGGATTTATTTATGTAGGGGGTGTAAAACGAGGTGGCTCGGATTGTCAAAATCTCAAAATTTTTGGGCTCGGCTCAATCCGTTTAAAAACGAGCCAGAAAATGCTTGATCCTAACTCGGCTCGCGAATCTGTTTTTTAAACGAGCCAGAAAACCCTTGACTTGGCATGTCTAAACACTAGTAGTGTGGGTCGCGAGCTGACTCACGAGTCTTGACTCATTTTACACCCCCTCTGCTGGTTTGGCCCAATTCGGATTGTCACAATCTCAAGTTTTTTGGGCTCAGTTCAGGTCGGCTCATTTTTTAAATATATTAGAACATATTAAAGAATGATAAAAACTAATAAAATGCTATAAAAAAATGTGGTTCACGAGCAAGCTCGTAGCCTGGCCGACTGGTTCGGTCGAGCCATTAATTGGCTCGAGAACCCTTTTTTTAAACGAGTCAGAAAAATACCTTGACTCGACTCGTGTAAAAATGAGTCAGCAGCAAGCTGGCTCACGAGTTTTGGTGTAAAATTTGGAAGTGTTTTACACCGTAAATATATTAAACTGAGCAAAACAAAAAAGCTTATGGTTGGTTTTCGTGGAATTTTGACTCAGTACGGCCTCGACACATCGGAGTTCACGTACAACCCATCAGAGTCTCACAGATTCCAGCAAATGCCTGCACAACAAAACGAGGAACGGAGCCGTTGTATTGTCATGTGAGTTCATCTAACAAATCCTCCGTTTTCTAATGTCCATAAGGTCCATCATCGTTCTCTCTCTCTCTCTCTTTTCCTTGAAGAATTGCCTTGGCGTAGAAGTCTACCTCTGTAAAACTGTGTTTTGTGTGTAGTCTTTGTGAGGATTACTACCTGCATGAATATTATTGTTATTTATTGTATTCATCTTGGTTCTGATCTGATTCGGTCCGACATTTTTTTTAATAGCCTCTTGAGATTTAAATATTGTAGCGTGGATCATTACAATAGCCAAGAAGACGAAGGTTAGGTCCTATTAGTTGTATCAAACTTTGACAGAACCCCAAAAAAAAAACAGAACATCCAATGTAACAGAGTTGGGTGTGAAGACATACATAACGACATCAGGTAACATACAAAGACACACACCCATCCACCCATACACACATATATATATACACACATATATACGGGAGACTGTATATCTTGCAATGGAGGTGAAGATGAAGGTGTGGATAGCAGTGATGGCGTTTTGGGGGATTATAGATGGGAGTGATGGGAATCTAATGAAGGGTTACTACAAAGAGACGTGCCCTTTGGCAGAGGAGATAGTGAGGCACAACGTCCAGGTCGCCATCCTCAGAGATCCGCGGATGGCTGCTTCCCTTCTCCGCCTTCATTTCCATGACTGCTTCGTCCTGGTCAGTATCCCTTCAATCCCTCTCTCTCAGACAGTCTCTCTCTTTTAGGGGTTCTACTTAGGGGGTGGCACGGGGTCGAATACCCGAGATTTTCAGGATTTTTGAACCATAATCCGGATATCTCGTGTTATATGTTTTATTACCCCATAATTGTATCCGTGGATCGGGTATTCGTATTTGGAATACCCGCGAGATAATGTTCCACTGTTCGCGGATACCCGAACCCGAACATTCAAACCGATTTTGACCAAATTTTCATTCTTTTATGCACATAAATTTATCCAAAATCAATCAAATACATATTTATTATTTATGAAGTTCATTTAAATTCATTCAAATCTATCAATATTCAAGCTAAGACTTGAAGTGATGAGATTAATGGAACGAGTGAAGGAAACCCCAAGGTTTAGATTTTGATGTGATATAATTAAAATTCACGGGTGACACTAGAAGTTAGTTGCAGGTAATTACTGTCTCATACCGTAGTACTCAACCCGAATCTGAATTTCGAGTTATTTTTAAAAATTAATATCCGATCTCATCTCCTATAGTATTTGTGTATCCGAAATTCGGGTATCTGCCCCGCAGGTCGAATCAGTATCCGAATTGTCGGTTTTCTTTTTCATCCCTAGTTTTACCGTGTCGGGAATTTTTGTATGAAGGGGTGTGACGGGTCGGTGCTATTGGACACGAAAGGGGAGATGGTGAGCGAGAAGGAGGCGACTCCGAACGCGAATTCGTTGCGTGGGTTCGAAGTAATCGATTACATAAAGTACCTTCTCGAGGAAGCTTGCCCTCTCACCGTCTCTTGCTCCGATATCCTCGCCATGGCCGCTCGTGACTCCGTCTTCCTGGTAATACATTCCTTGCATTTTTCGCTAATGGCCGAACTAGGGAGTGGGTGATCTTGATCGAATTAAAACTTACGAGGTCGTTCCGCAACAAATCAAAAGTAAACAGTATGACCGAAACCAAACCGAATAAACCGTTTTATAAAATATTACCAGGAAGTTTCTAGTGAAAATTTCTAGTGAAGCCCAAAATATTTGCCCAAATAAACCCATTACGGGCCCAGCAGTGACCCAACAAAATGGATTCACTAGCGCGTGAATCGAAAAATCATACGCGCGCACATAGCGCGTGGACGTCACGCACCCCAAAACCCTGGACTATTGTCCACAGATTTTGGTCATTTTCCGTCAGAGCAGGTGAAGGGGCGCGTGGGAACGGAGTGTCCTCGAGCAGCACGGATGCCACATAAGAGGGACGAAATGAAAATCTTGGGGTCATTTTGGAATAAATCAGGACTTTAGGACCATTAAAAATAATACCATGCCGTCCCTCATCTTTTTAAAACCATTCGTTCGTACCCCGAAAAAACAAAATAAGTCGTTCAGCCCAGGTTTAAATTAAATATATATATCATATTAGGATGTCTTCTAATCAGCATTAAATTCTTCAAATTATTTTTCATTCAATTAAAATCCTTATATATAATCAGAGGAATGGACCGTGGTGGGAAGTTTTGCTTGGGAGGAGAGATTCATTGAAGGCAAGTTTAGAGGGCGCCAACAGATATATTCCGGCACCCAATTCTTCTCTCGAAGGCCTCATCGCCAATTTCAAAGAACAAGGCCTCGACGTCGACGATCTCATCGCCCTCTCAGGTCCAATCTAATATAATTATGTACCGAAATTAAATAACTATGGTCTATAAAGATAATATTTTGGACCTTTTGAATAAGCAAGAACCAATAAAATCGATAACTATACCCTAATTTTAAGTTATTACAATAATTTCCTTATATCGTTTTCCCAACATAAACCGCAGTTGGGTTGCACTCCGATTTATATTCGGATTTGATTATTTCGGTTTTTATAAAAATTTGATTTATTTTTTATTTTTTGTTAATAATTTTTTTTATTCGGTTCGATTTTTTTATTTTCAAAAATTATATCAAATTGAGTTCGGTTACGAATACAATATTCAGTTTAAATCGGTTTTGTTATTCGAATATGAACCAAATTCATCACCCCAATTACCATTATACAGTTTTCCCTTCAAATCTTTTTTTACGTAAAATAAAAGTTTATTTAGGGGCACACACGATGGGAAAAGCGAGATGCGTGAGCTTCAAGCAAAGGATAACTCAACCGAACACAGAGCAGACCTTTTACGACGACAGGTTCAAACGACACGACACGTTCCGACGCGTCCTCAGGGCACAGTGCCGAGACTCCACCCGAGACAACCTACTGACGCCGTTAGACATCGTGACGCCGTCTAATTTCGACAACCATTACTTCGTCAATCTCCTGCGAGGACGAGGGCTGCTCATCTCCGACAACGTTCTGGTCTCGGAAGATCACGAAGGATACGTCTTCAAGAGGGTTTGGGATTACGCCGTCGATCGAGATTTGTTCTTCGCTGATTTCGCCGAATCGATGCTGAAAATGGGCAGTATCAATGTTCTTACTGGCGTTGACGGTGAGATCAGGAAGAGTTGTAGGTTCGTCAACGCGTGGATTTGATCCTATCTTTTTTTAAAATTACTTTTCGTTTTAATTTTATAAACTAATAATCGGTTTATCATAATTAATCATCATACATAAGACTTAATAATGGGCTGAAAGGATTAGGCCCAATCTGGCCCAAAGAAAAGATCACGCCCCGCGCGAAAAATGCAGATGCCCAAAGGGAAGGGAAGTAGAACACGCGCAACTGTAGCGCGTGGACGTCACGGACCCAAAACCTCTGGACTATAGTCCATAGATATTGGCCATTTTGGCCGAAATGGAAAAACAGGCGCGTGAGGGACTGTTCATCCTACTCTTTTAATTTTTTGATTTCCCTTCGCAATTTAACAAGCAAAATATTTTGATGAAATTAAATTCCGGTTTTTTCGGGGGCAAAAATAGGATTCTTTCGTCATCGCTGAGAATTTCCACTTGTTACGAATCCAACTATACAATTAGGGTTTTTTCGTGTTGAATCTGAGAAATCATAGTTTTTGACAGGAAAAACGAGGGGCATCAGGTCTCCAAGGTGATTTAGCATCAATATATAGATTCAGACGCAAATTACCCATTAACCATATTCCAATTTCATCACCTGCCCATAAGCATTCCAAGAGAATTTCAAAAACAAAAGTTGATGATAACAACATAGGTAGACAATTCGAGGAAATTTGGATCTGGGCATCAGTTCTCCAAGGTGATAAAACATCATTGTAATAATCTCAGATGCAAATTACCCATTTGTTATTATGAGATTCATCATATGCCCAGATGAAAAAAAGATGAAATTTGTTTTTTTTTTTAAATCAGACTTGGAAGGAAAGCCAAATCAAAAGATAAAGAAAGAGACAATTTAGGGGAAGCTGGAATTAGGGTTTATAGATCGATCAGAACCTGTCGGGATTATCACAAATACATCACAGAAGTTGTCAGTGGATTGACAGACTTGTGAATTTCTATCGTCACCTCGACCCAAAACAAACCCATATCCGATTTCGATAAGAAAACACCAAACCACCGACCGAAAATCAAAATTGGGGATTAAAAAGGGGAAATACTGGGAATAAGAAGAAGAAGAAGAGCTCAGAACTTCTTAGAGGGATGTGCTACCGTCACCGAAGAAGATAACTTCGTCTCTGGTACACAGAATTTATTCATCACAGCAGCACCGAAAATCTCGAAGAAATATGATAAGAAAAAACAGACAAAAAAGTTAAAACAAAAAATAATGGTTAAACCCTAATAGACAAGCTTTAATCATGAAGCAGAAGCCTTTGGAGACGGATGAGGAGGTGTGGTGTTGTATTTATATATGCAGACAAGAGAAACCCTACTTCGGTGATTTTTTTCCTCCTATTTTCATGGCGGCGGCCTGAAAAACCCTAGTTCCCGCTTCTATTATATATAATAATTCCCTAGTTAAAAATCAGTCCGCTAATAAGAAAAAACGAGAGTAGATGATAATGAAATTTTTTATAAAAAGAAAAAAAAATAAAATTTTAATTTTACTATTTGATAATTAATCTATTTGATAAGTTTTTTTTTTCCTCCAATTTACCGCTTAGTTACACCAAGGATTTTTTTTTTCTTTTTTTCAACTTTTTAACTGTTTAATTGCTATTTTGGTTCAATTTTAAATCTTGACAATATATTTCCACGAGGGTTCCCCTCCAGATAGGGGTGGGCAAAATATCCGAAAAATCCGAACCGATCCGTTATTCGATTCGTATCCGAACCGAAAATTCGGATATCCAGAGTTTACGGATCGGATACGGATATTTCTTTAGAGATATTTGTCGGATACGGATATTAAAATTGAATTATCCGACATATCCGATCCGATCCGTATTTTGTAATAATATTATTAAATATAAGAATAATTTCATATGGAGATTTAAAATGCTTAATATTTACACGTTTTTAAGGGTGATTCAAAAAAAAATTTATATATAAAGGTTTATAATTTTAATCTTTTGAATATTAAGATTTATTATGTTTAATGTTTTGAATTTTGAATTTTGAATATATTTGTATGTGATAAATTATAATTGTATTTGTATTTGAGTTGATTTGAAATGTTTAAAATTATCATTTATCTTAAATAGATTATATATTTTATTTACATTTGAATTTATTATTTAATTTAAATTTAAAATTTTATAATATTTTAGGTCGTATACGGATATCCGCAAATATTCGTGATTTTTACGAATATCCAAAATTGCAAATATCCGAAAATTACGGATCGGATACGGATAACAAAATCGAATATTTGTGCGGATCGAATACGGATATCTCAAAAATCCCGGATATCCGATCCATGCCCACCCCTACCTCCAAGTCCCAAAAAAAAATTGAAAAAGAAAAAAGAAAAATGATCCAAAATCACATCCTAAAACCAAAAAGAGCAAATGAGGAAAAAAAATAAATTGCCTAAACTACCAAAGAAGAAGGCGTAAAGACGGTGGTGACACGACATCAACTCGACGGTTTAGAAGTTAGAAACTCTTTAATTTCATTTTTTTCAACTCTCTTATTGAAAAGAAGACTCCGGTTAGACCGGAAACCGGTTCCAACTACATAAACCGGTAAGCGCCCTTATTGTTGGTCAGAGAAAAATGCTGCTGACGGAGCTGTCATCATGGACACGCCATATGGTCTCGCCCAGAAGATTAGCCACTGATAAAACCGTCAACTGCGGGAAGTAATTCTTCTCCTCTACCGGCAGTGTGTTCGTCACTATCACTTCCTGCAGCAATCCGCTCGACAATCTCTCGATCGCCGGTGGACTTTTTCGACACGGCGAAAGACAGAAAAGAGGTTCAGGATTTCACGTTCCGAAACACGATCCGAGAAAAGGGTTAACGGTAAAAAAACCTGAAAACGGCGTGGGTGCAGCACGCGTAGACTTCACGCGCCCCCTCCTGGTGTAAAAGGCCTGCTCCTTTCACTATGGTTCCTGAATAACAGTAAAAATCTCCATTAACCCTTTTCTCAGACCGTGTTTTAGAATGTGAAATTATGAAACTTTTTTTAAGGTTCAAGGTTTTTGGATGTGAAATTCAGTAAAGGGAGAATGATGTTTCGGTTTTAAGGTTTGAATATGGTCTTATCGAAGGTTTGGCCTGCGAAGGAGAAGGGGTCTCTAGTGACGTAAACATGTTTAGAGAAAAAGGATCAAAAGACAAGACAGAGATTTGGAGGGATTTACTAAACCTGCGGTGTCGATCATGTCATCCACCATAACTGCAACCTTTCCTCTTACATCACCGATCAGGTTCATGACCTGCATGAAAACATGATATGATATCATTGTGGCGTGTGTTGTCAAGGAAGGCAACGTACCCTTTAAGAAAAGGGCAGTAATAATTATTACCTCGGCAACATTGTGGCCGTGACGCCTTTTATCAACAATGGCAAGGGGAGCATCTGACAGTTTCTTGGCAAAGGCCCGAGCCCTGGCAACACCACCAACGTCAGGGGAAACCACTACTAGATCCCCCGAGGAAATCGACTTGCTAGCAAGATAATCAAGTATCACTGGCTGAAAAAATGATCATCACAAAACCGATGAAAGATGTCAGCAAATGAAGATCAGACCCAAAAGCGGCAGTCAGAAGAGCGAGGCTCCTCATTCGGGAACCGTACATTGGAGATACCTGACAGTAGACATGGTCCACGGGGATGTCAAAGTAACCCATGGACTGACCTGAATGAAGATCACAAGCAAGAACTCGATCTGCACCAGCTTCGGTTATAAGGTTAGCAACCAGTTTGGCAGCAATTGATTCACGCCCTTGCGTCTGGAACACAAAATCAAATAGAACAAAATCAGATAGAAGCAAATAACTTCCAATGTATCAGGATTCCTAATCTCAAACCTGCCAGAATGTACACACACAATACCTTTCTGTCAGCTCGGGCATATCCAAAATATGGAATCACAGCTGTGACTTTCTTGGCGGACGCTCTAGGTAGGCTGCACTAAATAGACATCACATCCTCTAACACTCTCTTGTAGCTGAACATATATCTCCCCGTCCGCGAATCTCTTTATGTTAATCTTCCCGAGCTCCAGGCCCATATAGCAAGCAATTTCCTTTACAAAGCACCAACAGAGTTAAACAAAGAAGTGGACATAAATCGTCATCGTAATCATATTCACCACACGAAACGAAATCTACGATCACGGCCTCGCAGATACCTGGGCAAGCGCAGGATTTGCTGTACCAGAGAACAGCTTCAGCCTGCCGCTCGCTCTGTTGACTGATTTCTCCATCCCGGCAGATTCCAAGAACTTAGGCAGTGTCTTCCCATTGATGGCCGGGATACCGGGTTTTCCGTTTCCCACACTCACTGAATCGGTGAGATCGCATTTCTAGCAAAGAAGAACAAACAGGTACCGAATTGGGAATCGAAATTTACAGACTTGACTACAACTCAAAATCACCATGCACAGTCCCTCTGCCACTCCTACAACCATGAATTTTCCCAATGGCAACAAACAATTTGTTCGATCAAAGGAATGGGTACTGGAACTAATGCGGGGGAAAAGGCAGTCAACAATTCACGTGATCAACACACGATTTCCTACCAAGAGTAGGATTTCATTCACAAGATGCTCCAGAGCAACGGAACCTAAAACCAAATACATAGCCTAAACCCCTTTTACGATCATCAACGTCTGACACGAAATCAATCGAAAAGCAGATAAAAACAATGATTCAAAAAAAGGTAAAGTCAACAAAAAAAAAATTGAATTTCAAGGAAATATCATCCATACTGATTCGTAGACAACCAAAGGAGTTCACAAAATTCTCAGAAATTACTCACGACGCAGCCGGAGACGGGGAATCGGGGCCGAGACTCGGTCGTCCTGAAGGAGAGAGAGCCGCGAGAGACGAAAGGCAAAGACGGCGACGACGACGACGTCTTGGCGGCGGCGGCGGTGGGAGGAGAGGACAGAGCCAGCGACGCCATTACGCAATATATATACCCGTATACACGTCCGCTAGACCTGTGTATACGTATATAACTACACCGGCTCACACACACACTAAGAAGCTCCCAGCGAATTCTGAGAAGTGAGAGCCGATCAGAGAAATTAGGGTTATGCTCTCGAGAATCTCAGAGGAAGAAGAAGGCCTGTTGGCTCTCCGAGTCCGTGTATTCTCTCCGTCTGCGCCCTTTTTATCTGTGGCGGTGGTGAGGAAGAAGAACGTCTTCTCTCTCTCCACGACATTTGGATTTTCTCTTCTTCTTTTTTTTTAATAAGAAAAACTAGGGATGGCTTTGTACTTACGTCCCTACTACGACGTCGTTTCAGCGGTTCAAGTATTTGAATAAATATAGCACAGAAGAAAAGTAGACCACGACGGATATTAATACAGTTTGGCAGTTGGGCTTGCTAGACAAATGTTTTCGCACGTGATTATAATCCGAACGAGGAAAACATTTAAAATATTAATATGCATGCCCACCAAACCCCACACTGATTTAATTAGAGAAGAATATCATCACATTTATAACATATACTCTACACACATATAGTATAGATATGGACGATATCCCACCGCAATTTGGATGGTTATACCCAAAAAAAAAAAGAAAAAAATCGGACAAGTGTAGATTTCATTGCAACCTCGTATGTGTGACAATTGGCATGCCTGTTGTCACGTGTGTAAGAACAACACAGAATCTCCTGATTTTTAAGGTAAAAAATAAAATAAAATAAAATAAAAGATTTAAAGCCTTTAAATTTCTATATTCACCCTTATCTCTTGGGGGTGTGAGATTATGTATTACCTAAATTGCAAAGATAAAATGGTAAAGATTTAGTCACAGTTTTAGATTCTCTCTATCGGGAATCTGTATTGGATGGGCCAATTAATGTAGATTTGAATCTCTCATATGCAAGTAATACATATATCTATATATATATATACAATTTTTTCCCAATATATGCATGGTACTAATGTCTTAGTCATTGGATAGAATAAGAAACACTAGCAAAACTACGACATGAAGAACCAATTGTCCGCAACAGCACGACGTGGAGTAAACGCTCAATGTGGAATCAAATTCGATTCATTCAGCGAAGAAAGACTCAAAAGCAAGGAATCTGAAGTGAAAAAAGGGCGTTATTGTCTATCTTAGGGCCGGAAGAAGGGAATTTGATTCTATGGACGGGTTTTTTCCACTTTTTCGGGGTTTGGACATAAGTACCTGGTTCAAGAAGAAACACCCATCTTTCAGTTGTTGGCCTCAGGAGATTTGCTTGACCTGCAGGAGAAGAGGACTAGATTGCCTAAGAGTTCGGAATCTCGTTAATTATTGAAAAAACGATTAGAGTGAGGGATTTGGTACAAAGGGGATAGATAAGATTGTCGAATAGCGCGAAGCTGGGGGCTTTCCATGTTTTCGAGCAACTGTGTTATGGTATTTAGATGAACAACACTGTGCAGAAAACAAAACTCGGGGTTATACTATATGGTTGAATCTATTAGAAATTCTATCTAGCCATATGCAAGTAAGCACGGAAAGATTTGTATATGAACCTGTGCAGTCCGCTTTCTATATGGCCATCCAGGGATGAAATCACCTGAGGCAGCTGTTCAAGCACCTGCAAAAAAGTATACACATACAGATAACAAATGACTGCAAGAATGTTATATATACATAATGCTAGAGAAGTTACATACTTGTCCAGTTGCTTTTGTCATTGAGGATTTCGCCAAAAGATTTTTCGGGAGCTTTACCAACTTTGCCTGTGGATGGTACACATTTAAACCGTGTTAACTCTTCGCATTAGATAAGTTATGAAACAGTAGCACGGCGAAGAAAATCGCGTAAACTAAAGAAGACCAGAGTTTTACTGAATGCAATTTGTTAAATGTATCCCTAATTCTACTACCCATCAAATATATCAGACTTGAGAGTTCACCCAAATGAAGCCAGATAACGCTTTGCCAGTGAAATAGAAACCTAAACTGAGTTTGGGCATGAAGAATCTAAAGAAACAATGCAATATCACAAACCATTGGCATCATTCATCATTGTTCTGCGCATAGTTATGTGTACATCTAACTCCCTATAAATGCACTCTACGATTTGCGCTACCGTTTATGTTCTATGTTCTAAAATATTCACGGAGATTCCTTTAGTGGCATCAAAACCAGAAAATACTAATGGAACTAAAACGAGACGAAAGAAAATCAAACCCAAATCAAATAGATAAAATTGGATCAGAGACCCTCACCCATGGCGCTTTTTATGTTAATTTGGTTGGAGATCACTGACTGTTTATAGTTGAACTCTTATTACTCCATAAACACAGACCAAAATTACCTCATAAAGGGGAAAACATCACATGAGAATCAGGATAGGATCAAAGATTTGAAGATTTGGGGATCAATCGAAATTACTTTTTGCCAAAAACGGAGTATTCCATTCAGTTCTATAAGAAATTCTGTCAATCAAAATTAGACAACGAAAAGTACAGAAAATCGTCGCAAACACTGGAAAAACATCGAATCTAGCCCTGATTCCTCCAATCGGACCCTGAAAAACATAGAAATCAATATAGATAAGAGCATATGTGTATACATATAATGAAGAAACCACCTGAGACGGAGACGACTGACGCATCAGATGAAGAAGGTTGGCAGTGGAATTCACGGCCTGAGATATCTGATCGGCAACGACCAATTTTGCCGTGCGATCACCGCCGCCGATTCCCCTCGCATTTCCCGTCGCTGTCGCCATTTTTTCAGTGGTTTTGCGTTTTCTTTCTTAAAACAAAAAGGACGAACAATTTAAATAACTATTTCTTATTAACCCCTATTTTATTGATTTGTATCAAATATTACCCATATTTGTCTCAAGTGCCAAAAAGCCCACTTCCCAATAATAATGCTCAATCGCTCATACAAAGATTTTTTTTTTATGCATAAAAACGTTTATTTAATTTAAAATCGATTCGATTCGATTCGAATCGTGTATATATCCATCGGGTTCAGTTATTTTGCCCATCTCTATTTTAGGTTATAAATGGTGATAGTTTTTATTTAAAATTTTTTCCTTTAATTTTTGTTTTCTGGATTTTTGCTTTTGGTTTTTTATTTTTTGGTTTTGGCAATAGCTATAAATCCAAAAAATAAAATTTGTAGTTTTTAGTTGATTTTTTCATTAAAATAGTTTTTTTTTTAAAATTTTTAGAAGAAAATAAATTTACAAAATCTTGATTGTCATTTTCTTTAATTCTAAAAATTTCAGAAAATATAATTAACAGCTTCACAAAAGGAATTTTATAATAAACTACTCCCTCGCCCAGTCAACAAATATTTAGAAATTATTTTAAAAAAAAATACTTTTGCAATTATTTTATGATCTACAAATATTTAGCTTCATCGAGTTAATGGAGATGGGCATTCAATATATAAGATATTAAGAAAAACGACATGTCTAAGGTATTATTGTAGTTTGAGTGACATTTGTTTAGTATTCGAATTAGTTGAGCTATTTGTTTTTTTATGGATATAATAAGAAAACACAATGAACATCAAATTAATAATTATTTTCTCTAAGACGTGTTAAAGGCTATATATATTTCTTTAACCAAAAAAAGCTATATATATATATATCCGGCTCTGTATTTTTATCCCTTGTATCTATATGTGTACATAATACATATTAGTGGTCTTGGTTTTGATTTTTTGAGCGAGTCGTCTGTAAGAAAACATTGGGTTTTTATTTATTTATAATAATTATCGTTTTTATGGGAAATAAAAGGCTTCATAAGGTAAAAAGTAAATATATGAGAAAGTAAAACGTAACATTTCGTATAAAATAAGAAATGTTTATGGCTTCCTTAGCCGAAGAGGGCAACAAGCACAAGTTCCTAGGCCCAATTTTCAAAAAGGAGTGTTCGGCCCAATCTTATTAAGCCCATATTTTAAATTAACACACTGATTTAAAAATAAAAAATAAAATAGGGTTTCTGGCACGCTTTCGTGAGCGGCGGCCTCTCTCTCTCTCTTTTCTCTCTTCTCTCTGCTGTCTGTCTCATGTCCGCTCTCTCTCTCTCCGTCACTTGGCGTACTTTCTTCTTAATCTGAGCTTCGACACTCATCTCGGATTCGACTATCTTAGGTGAAGCTTTCGTGCCTCTCTCTCTCTCTCTCTCTCTCTCTCCCTCTCTCTCTCTCTCTCTCTCTCTCTCTCTCTCTCTCTCTCTCTCTCTCTCATGCCTTGACTGTCGGATCCAGGTAGACGAGAACCAACGGAGACAGGAAGTCTACCAATCGTAAGACAACGCGAGAACAAGGTGCGTTCCGATTCTGCCCATCTTTTTCTTGCTCGAGATCGGACGGTGGTCGGAAACCGGCCACCAGAGCCGGAAGCCCATATGCCACCGCTCACGCAACTGATAAACCAATTATTATTATTATTATTTGATTTATAGTTTATATCTTTAAAATTTTAATGTTAGTCTAACCTAAATAATTTTACGGCATGTTAACGCTTATGGGTGGTGTTTTCAAAAGCTTATATTAGCAAAACTTTTTTGAAATATGAGGTATGATAAAAAAAAATGGTTATCTTTATAGATATGCATAGTGTAAAATTATTTTTTAAAATAATGGTTTTTTTTTTTATAAAAAATTTAACTCACTAAAACTCTTAGACTACATGTTTTATTTAAAACAGAATATTTAAAATGTTGGATGAAATTGGGTTAAAAATAAAAATTTAGACACGGTTTCGATATTAAAAATAAGCTCTAAGGTACAATGGGGGAAATTAAATATTCCAGCCTGTAAAGTTGGGACCATGTGAAGAAGTGGACGAGACGTTATATACAGTATATGCACACACATATATATTTATATATATATATATTTATTTTCTCTTCTTTTTTCGGGTATTGAAATAATTTGCCTGAAACAATAATTGAATAACAAAATACTTGGTTATTCAAAAAAAAAATTCATCACAATCCATTTATATCTCGCACAGAAGCGGTGGAGCGTGAGAGGCACGTGCATGGTGCAGGGAATAATAATGAGAAGAGGCTTGTTTGGTTGGGTATAAAGCTCCACCCCTTCCCTATATGGGATCCACTTGCCCACTCTTCCAAACACGCCTTCTTTATTTGATTTATAGTTAAATGCCGATTAAAATATATATACTAATTCATTGGGGGAGAAAACTCGAGGGTCTTTTCGTAATTTAGCCCTTATGTACTTCTGCAACCCTTGTACTCTCAATCTCAAGTCTCCGTCGCTCAGATAGTTAGATTCTGTGATTTCATATTTAATTTTTTTAAAAATCCCGCACTCATCTCTCTCTCTCTCTCTCTCTCTCTCTCTCTCTCTCTCTCTCTCTCTCTCTCTGTATATATTTATA